AAAATGTTTCCCCTCTTCCCATGACAAATGTGCCTTATAAAATATCATCCATGATGAGTAACTTATTAGAGGCCTGCGTCATTTACAACAATTTGACCTTGCCTGTAAACTTGTATGCCTTATATAACATAATGTTAGTCGGGAATATATTACCATTATTATCATTATTAAATACAGCTTTCTTGGCACCGAACAAGTGTCAATGGTTCCAAGAATTCGAATTTGTCGGTAGGTATGCTTACTCATGGTCTAGCGCCTTTCTCGTGTGACAGATGTTTCTGATCTATGCATTTCAACTTGTTTATCATTGATCCTACTGTTATTTTGTCAACGGATTGTTCAATCTACTTCGTTTCTTGTCACCTCAGTCAATTTGTCATTTGTACACTATTTTTGATGTACGTTATTTGCGTAATGATCTAATTTACTTCCTTTCCACTTTTCTGCATTATAGTTGGTACAAATGAGATTATATTTCCTAACGGGTTAGAAATTGAGTTGTTTTGCCCTACACAGGTTCGCATGTTCTTTAAATCATAAGTTTCGCTAATAATCGACCAATGTAAGCAAATATCACGATTAAGTTCACTACGAGGGATATGGTCTTTCGATTAAGTATGTGAGCTTATGCTACAAATACGACGTTTTGAGTGTGCACAGAAACATAAAAATCGCTCCTACATATGATGTTCTCTGGTTCTAAGTTACTCAGACAGAAGTAAACATATAAATACGTTTATTCAAAACAAGTAGTGGATTTGTAGTGGTACTGGTTCCTAACCACACGATCTTTGAAGCCGAGCATACAATTACTAAGAAGGTTCACACTCACCATGTAGCACTTAGAGAAATTCAATAACGATGAAGCATTAGGCGAGATAGCGTGGCGTGGCTAGATTCAAAACTGGATCACGTGGTGATATTGCTAACTACAGGCCCATTAATTCGACGTTCGTGCTATCAAGAATCACGGAAAAATCATCCACAAAGAACTATTATCATCTCTACTTTCGGCTAGTCTGATTAGCCTATCCCAACAAGGGTTTATGAGCAAACGCTCATGTTTCACATGGCACGTGGAATTTTTCGATCAAATTACCCAGAGAAGAGATGTTGGTCAATCTGTGATAATTCTGTACTTTGATTTTAGTAAGGCTTTTGGTGGTGTCTTACACAAACGTCTCGTAAAACTCTCTTCATTTGGCATACAGAATCGCTTTTTATCTTGGCTCAAATCTTTTTTAGTATAACGTAGCCAAATCGTTCGCTTTAGATCTTGCTACTCTAAACCCGTGAATGTAACCACTGGGGTTATACAAGGAAGTGAGATTGGTCCATTACTCTTTCTTCTTTTTATCAATGACGTGTGTTCCCTCTTTCATTATGGTAAACCTTTCCTTTTTACCAATGACCTAAAAGTGGTTTATTCATTTTCTTCTCCCACCAAAGAAAGCTATATTTCGGCGTTAATCCGAGAAAAAATAAACACGTTGTACGAATGGACTGTTTCGTGGAATTCGCCACTTAATGTAGACAAAAGTGAATTCATTCGCACTGGTCGCTGGCTTAACCTTAATCTGGCTATACACAAACACACACTGAAACCTCTCAACACTGTTCGTGACTTGATTTCAAGATATAGCAGCAGTTCGAACTTTTTCGAGCACATTGCATCTCAAGTATCCAAAGCTAGAAAGCTCATCGGGTTCATAATTATAAACTTCGATAATATAGATTCGAGATTATTATTATACAGAAAATGCATCTTACCCATTCTTGAATATGGTATATTAGTTTACAGTAATTTCAGACATAATGACCTGATTAAATTTGACGGTGTTCAAAGAAGGTTCATTAAAGCTGTTTTGGGGTATTCCGAAAACAAGGATTATCAACAGAGATATCAACAACTCAAATTAAAATCTCTCTGGATCAGGCGTATCAAGTTAAACCTTGTGTTTATCTGCCGGCCTATTAACGGTATTTCCTACTCTTCATACTCTATGATATCTTCCCACAGTATACGTAGTAAGGAAAATATTCTAGCGACCCCAAGAACCTACACAAGCTTACGCCAGAATTTTTTCGTTGTTTGCTACTCAACCGTGCTGAACAGACTGCCAGTGAACCTCCGTTGCAGTGAAACTACAACCCGGTTCATAAGTCTCCTTGATGATTTTCTTTCCGAAAGTAGATTGTGTCACCTATTGAATATCGATGTGTTTAATAATGATTGTTACAAACAAGGTCCGTCATGTATCTAATTGACTGAAAAACAAAGTGTAACCTTTGAAACTTTCAACATCTATTTCATTTTTTCTTTATTCATCCCAATACGTGAAGTCTGCTTATGTTCATATTTATAATTATTACTGTTAGCAATGTCATTATTGGTCCCTCGACAGATAAGATATACTTTTCATCCCTTCTTGTCTTTATAAACATATCTTATTCCTAAACATCCAAAGTCTATAACTAAAAACAAAAGAATTATCCTGTTACACTTAAACCATATATATATATATATATATATATAACACATAGAAATTTATATTTGATCATCCTTTGGAATTAATTGTGACTTTCATAGTACCACTCTAAATTATGATTGCACAAATCTACATGTATTTGTCCGAGTGGACTAAAGGATTTTTTAAAATTTTTGGTTTACTTCAGAGGTCGATATTCATTACACAATTGTTATTATCATGGTTGAACTCTTTCACTAGGTGTTCACTTCTTTTCTCTCTCTTTTCACCTTCTAAATAAAAATTATTCCCAAGGTTACGAAGTTTGCAATTAAGATACTAACTTGTGTTACACTTCAATTAGGTTTTCGGGCTTTTTTATCTACACAATGCATATATGACTCACACATCTTGATTTTTGGTTATCTTTTTCGCCTAATTGAGACTTTCATAGCATCACTCCAAACTATGATTGCACGGACATTTATTCTAGCGTCATATCTTACTGCAATAACAAGTTATTTTTTCATGATTATTTTCTATTTTATTTTTGTTTATAATTCGACAATACATACATAGTCGTTTATTCTTGTTCTTTGTTCATAAACACGCTTAATAAACGTTTCGCTTATTTCTATTCCCTTATTTTCTCCTTTTCCTTCTTTAAACTCAATTCAATATTCTTCTCAATTACAGAGAACCTGATTTATTATTGTTATTCTATTATTATTATTCTCCTTTTCAAATATGGCAAATATAATGCTAACATTATTGAAAATTGTGAATTATTGCACTTTTGGAGAAACACTTTTATACCCATCAGATGTTTTTGAATATTAATAATGATAATTGTAATAATAATAACCAACGCGCCTCTGTTAATCGTATGCCATGGACTGGCGCATGCGGTGGTTGTCTAGCTCTCTTCTCTGTATTCATTCCTACCAATACATTTTCCTTTGTGTTGTGCGGTCTTCATAACAGCCATATTGCTTTGATACGTCGAAGGGCTTTTTCACGTTGGATGCTGACCGCGATGTGTGACTTCAAAGTTAGCTGATTCGTCATACCATTCCCGTCTAACTCGAGTACGTCCCCAGTCATTCGCCATAGATCATCTATCTTGATAGTCCGCACTCTCAACACTGTCAAGGATAATCAAAGGACTGGCCAATAAACAAATGATGGAATACATGGAAAAGACATCACACTCTACAAAGTCTAACACGGTTTCAGAAAAAACAGATCATTTGCGTTGGATCTCCTCATATTATGGGAGAGCTGGACGGCCTGATGGGACCAAAAGATAACGATTTATGTAATATTCCTCAACTTTTCAGAAGTCTTCAACCTCATGTATTTCTCATAGCGGAGGCTGCAAAGATGGCTTTCACTGACCCACTTTATCTTGGTTCTAAAACTACCTAAGGAACAAGATATTTCGTACCAAGTTAAGTAGAGTATATGCGAATAAGGAGGTCTCAACGGCGGAAGTTTCTCAAAGGTCATCTCCTGTTTTTAATCTTTGTTGTCGTCCTAATAGATAAAATAAGCTAGGCGTCCCTGATCTATGAGGACGATACAAGTTCTAGAATTCCACGAAAAGCGAAAAAACATTCACTTGAACTTCTTAAGGACGTTGCAGTAATCAAGAGGTGAATAGTAGACAATGGGTTGGAAAGTAACCCGTAGAAATGTCATATAATGGGTATTCTGCCTGATTCGACACGAAGAACGTGCTCCCTCCATGGGAATCCACTCTCGATTGTTTCTTCAGAGATTGATCTCGGGCTTGTAATCACAGAAAAACTAGACAAAAATTCATATTACACAGGGCATCAAGCCAAGACAAACGCGACTCTCTACTTTATGAGTAGACAACTTGGCACAATCACACCAGAAATGTTGTTGCTTCCTCTCTTCAGAAGCAATATAAACGTATAAAAAAGACAGACCACTCCAATGAGAGCTTATTACCATAACATCGTCAACATTCTACTCCAGGCGACCCTCGAAGGATTAAACATAAAAGAGCGAACATCCAGATACATCTCATGTTTACTCATTATGAGTTACCCCCACTTAGAATTCTCTTCTAACCTAAGTGGCCACAATCACCTTGGTGCATAGCTTGGAGAGGAGACTTGACAAACTCGTGGATTAACATCTTCCGTTTAGTCTTCCAAACTGTCTGCATTACTATCTAAATAACTTATTTATTTGCCCTTCAAGACAATGATCTTCGCCTAGCATTCGAGTTTTATCTTTATTGTTTTTCACACTGTGAGCAACTGGCCTCCTACCTGGTAATTTTGATGACTACTGGTTTCCATAAATCCTACTGCTTTGAGACAAGAGCACCCATTCAGACTACCATATATATAAACCAACGAATAGCTACCGAACTGACTAGAATTAGAAGAGTCAAGTAGCTAGACAGCCGTCCATTTGACGCTACCAAAGATTCGGAATCGATCGGCTTATTCGTGTCTGCCACAAGGATATTGGATATTGGATATTGGAAAGACCTTTACATTAGGTTGTTTTAGGCGCCCAAGGCGTATGCGACATGTAAAATGCCTTTTTACGGTGTTCGAGTCGGTCGTGGCATCGGCGTCTTCTCGAGTTGGTGAGTCCCATGAAGTTTTTAACTAAGAAGTAATTGGGTCTGAGTGCAAAAAACTTGTAAAGGGCTACTCCGGAGCTTGCTTTAAGAAATTCACTTCCTACGATGAAGCTACAAAGTTTGTTGGTAGTTTCAATTTCTCCCCGTTACAAAATTTACTAGAAGCTGGACATGAGGTCGGAACCGTACTCTCGAGAAAGCGAAAGATTGGAATCATGAATGATGACCTGGATGGTCGAGGTATGGCGTTTAATTGCTACACATTGAAACAAGATCTATTACTGACCAAGCTATCTCCTGAAGAGCATTATATCAGTAATGACCATGTTCCAAGCACTCTGACATTTTATCATGGTAATTCTCTATTAGTATTTATGCCAACAGAGACTTAGATACCAAATGCATACCTATTATTTTAGCTTTTAATTTGTCACATCTATCTCCGAAACTACGTGTATTTTGTTAATGCTTCATCCATTTTTCGAAGATGAACTGATTCTCACATGGATTTTAATTTTTATGTATCTACCACTGGAGAATTGATTTGTAAACTCTTTACATACCTTGTGTATTTAAAAGCATAATGAGTGCTGATTTCAAGAACGTCAAAACTAGTTCCTCATATCTTGCAGTCCCAACCGTTAGATATCAATGGTATTAAATAGTGATACCTATTAATGACTCCTGGTTGTTACTGTAATATCTGCGACTTGAAATTCCAGATTGAGGAGAATGTTCATGTGTCGATTTATCTATGCAACGAAAAGCCATGTATTTCAAGGATCTTATAAACTAACGGTTCAGTAGTAGTAACACTTAATAGCAAATGCCGAAATACACTTAAATGGTTATTGTTCGGTCTTTGTAAAAAACGTACGAATAAAGTGAGGATAATAGGTCGTTTGACCCGTGTTAATCCTTCCTGTGAGGACGAAAAGCAAAAGTCCGGCGCTTTAACCGAATCCCAAATCAATGGTGCACATGGGCTCCAGTATCCTGAAGGAACAAATGGCGTATGAACCAATCGTTGGTCACCGGCTACCATGGGACTGCATCTCCTTACGCTGCTCCACTGCCTTGTGGATCAGATCTTCAGGTCAAAGTCTCGGGGTGTGGTCCCCTAAGAAAACCACCTGCTTCGGTTTGGGCACCCGGGCAGTATCACCGCCCTCACACAAATCAATTGAGATTTGTGTGGCGCATATGTATTTGGTGCCTCCTTGTACCAATACCTATGTGTTAAAATAAATAAATAAATCCTTCCTGTGAACATAGCTATGAAGACCGAAGTATTGAACTTACTAGTTAAGCAGATACTAATTGTTCAGATAGTGTTTTTCTGTCTTTGGGCGCTTTATGGGGACAACGGGACCGCGCTACTTTCGTTGGATTGGTTTGGTGACGGCCTCAGCGATAAATAGTTTCAGATTCAGACTTGTATATTTAAGACAGATAGCCTACGGCCGATGTTATTCCTTTTCTACTATGCTTCTATGAGTGTCTAGTCTCTTCTTAAATGAGTCAATTGAAGGTGCGGACATCACTGCTTCGCGTAACAGGTTCCAAGAATTGATGACTTGGCGTCAAAACCCGTATGCCACGGGTATTTTGTTCGTTCTTGGCTTTTCTATTCGCCTGCTATGTCCTCTCAGATGTTCCAATCTAGTCCCAGAATTGCACGGATAGCTGCCCTCTGTACTTTTTTCGGGAAATCCGTGTCATCTTTTAAACAGAGGCTTGCAGCCTGAACGTATTTTTCAAGCTTAGTTCTCACTAAGGTTTTTTATGCTGTAGTGAACATGGCAATATCTAACTTGGTGAATGCCCATCTTAAAGCCCATAGGGTTCTAAACCCCCTAGCCGCGTTCTCGCAGCAGTGGACCATGACTCACTGTCACCCCAAGATTCTTGTGAGACCGAACCACAGGTGCAGGCACTTCTATGCTGTACGTATTTACCTTTGTATCCCCAAAGTGCATGTAGACACACTTTGCCGTGTTGGTAGGCACCACCTACTCTTTAGACCAGGTAGTCTAAGTCTACCTGAAGTGCGCATGCATCGGCGTCACCCATTATTTCTCGCCAGATTTTTACATCATCAGCGTATAGTAACATTGGGGACTCAACTATAATTGGGAGGTCATTTACATACAGTATAAATAGTAAAGGACCTAGGACAGAAACTTGCGGTATTCCACTAAGTACTGGTCTCCAGTTGGAGCACTTGGGATTCACTCCTACTTTCCATTTAAGACCTACCAGGAAATCCCTAATCCAATATAGGGGAGGTTCGGCATTGCAAAGGTCCTCCAGCTTCAAGAGCAGTCTATCTGTTGGCACCTTATAAAGTGCTTTGCTGAAGTCTATGTAGACAACATCCACTGATTTTCAATTGTCTATAACCTTTATCCATTGCTTCCTTGCTATATCGAGGTTTGTTGTGCAAGATAAACCTTTTCTGAAACCATGTTGTTTGCTGTTTAACAACTTGGTTTCCACGAATGTCATTATGGTCTTTTTGACTATTCTTTCCAGTAATTACGACACTGGTAAGGATGATAGGTCTGTAGTTCAATGGAAGTTGTCTTGGTCCTGTTTTATGTATTTGAGTGACTATTGCATCCTTCCAGTCCGTAGGTAACACACCTTGGCCAAGTGACATATTGAATGTCACAGTTAGTGAGGCTGCAATATATTGTGCAATTTGTCTCAGGATTTTGGGTTGTAGTTCGTCGGGTCCTGTTGACTTTTCCATATGTAAGGTGTTAAAAACCTTAAGTACAGCGTCTCGATCGAAGTCCACTTTGAGCAGACGGTTTGCTGACTTTATTTGGGTCTAGTTCTTCGTCTAGAAGAGTAGTAAATGTAGTAAGTTATAACATGCTAGCGCCATTATAATAGTATAAAATCTCAGACTAAATGTAAAATAGTCTGGTGCTTCCTTGTACCAATATCTACGTGTTAAAATAAATAAAATAAACCTCTCATCACCTGCTTTAATTTGGAGATTAATTGGTGTTATTAGCTTCAGGTAGTATGTGGATTGGGTTCAGTGCATAAATTTGCATGTTTTGTAGTTAGTACAATTTACACCAAAGATTAAGGTTGAGATTCCTTCGTATCTTCCCGACTATGTACATGCTTATATAGTAGATTGACTCTGTATTCACTACATTACCCTCATTAAAGTAGACAAAGTTCAGTTCTGATCTTTGTGAGTTAGATTTTGTAGCTTCAGTTGGTAGAATATTAGTTTTAGTTCTGTTATTCTGCTGTCAATAGTAAATCCTTCAGCGTGGAATAAAGTAGGGCTGTAATGTTCATAACCAGACACAACAATGTAGCTTCTTAAGTTTTTGGATCGAAAACTCATAGTTATTTGCGACTGTCACTTAATATTAAACGTTATGGACATCAAAACGGATCAACTAGGTTAATTTTCCATAGATATTAACAATTACATCGCCTATTGTTCAATTTGTAGACACAAAACCAATTAATAATTCGACATACTCAACCATGCTGGAGAATCGCACAACATTCAAAACCCTAAATTATTACGAAAACTTTGGTTAATTATAGTTTATTATGATTGTTATTCAAACGAATGAACATCAATACAAACAGGCTCAGAAATATGTATGCGCTTCCACAGTCATTGCATTTGTGTCTGGAGTGATGTACTGCCCGGATGCCCAAATCGAAGCCGGTGGTTTTCTCCCGACCTTTGCTGCTACCTTGACGTGGTGGTCGGGCTTGCCCATCGTGATGAACCAATCGAGCTATACTGGCTGAAACAATTGTTCCTGAAGGTCCTACCTTACCAGACAGGCCGGTTGAAGAACGACAAGACTGGAAGCAGCAAACCCAAGGTCTGAGGGTGAAGTCATACTGCTGTCTGTACAGAGGTATGACGACAGTATGGTGTTTCCTTCAGACAGCCAGTATAACAGCGATGTTGCCTTCCTACAAGGAAGGGTAAGGTTGTGAAAGGTCGACCCTAAAAGCACACACCTCACCTTATCCCACGGATCTTCATCTCCGGCGGTGAGGTTCCGACAAGTACGGAGCTAACACTAAAACTACTCACAAAAAAGTCGTGTGTACCGGCCTCAAGCAGTTTCCCGTTGGGCACTGCGGTCACATTATTAGGTTACTAAGACCATCTCTAACCGAATTTCCTTTTCAGTGGGGAGAGTCCGCTCTCCCTCTCGAAATGCTCTCACATGGCCATGCGTATATAGCCGCTGCCAGGGAAGTCCTACTCACTGCCTTCTCGTGGCGGGGGTGTTGTTTACGAAAATGAGAGGACGAAAAGCGAATGTCTGGCGCTATAACCGGATCCCAAATCAATGGTGCACATGGGCTCCAGTATCCTGAAGGAACAAATGGCGTATGAACCAATCGTTGGTCACCGGCTACCATGGGACTGCATCTCCTTACGCTGCTCCACTGCCTTGTGGATCAGATCTTCAGGTCAAAGTCTCGGGGTGTGGCCCCCTAAGAAAACCACCTGCTTCGGTTTGGGCACCCGGGCAGTATCACCGCCCTCACACATATCAAATGAGATTTGTGTGGCGCATATGTATTTGGTGCCTCCTTGTACCAATATCTATGTGTTAAAATAAAATGAGATAAACTAACCGAATTTCCTTTTCAGGTACCTCTAGAAAAACCCTTCCACAGTGTGGGCAACCGGGAAGTGATAACCACCCTCGTACCTCTAACAGCACTCAAGATCACTATTCATACCTCTAACAGGTGGTTTTCTTAGAGGGTCACTACCCGAGCTTTCAACCTAGAAGTCCAATCCTCAAAGCAGTGGAGCAGCGTTAGGAGATGTGGTCCTATGGTAGTCGGTGACCAACAACTGGTTCATACGCCATCTCAAGTTTCGGCGTATGTGGAAATCTATCAGTACAATTTGACTCGATTGTTAACTTCAATCAGCGGTTTGATATTATGTTGTTGACTGATGATCTGCTACACCCCCGTCGTATTCTGTAATGTAGCCGTCAAATATGACTAGTAAAGTCAAACATGGTGCTATGTGCATCTAACCAACAATCCCTATCAAGTAGTTTAGATATGATGAAACTATCAAGTAAGCAGCTTTGGGTAAACAAGACCTCATGTAATAAGTTAGCTCCTGTCGATTAAGATTGGTTATAAATACTTAGGGGACGAACCATGAAAAATATAGGTGTTGAATTAAAACAGCGCTATCATACAAAGCCACACTCATAGTATAGACCTTATAGTCATGCACTGTTTAGTCGGTTGCAGAACTACTTTCCTTCATACTTCAAACATTCAATACGCTGTTATTCTATTCTTATTCCGCAATTTTGGTGTACATCATAGCGGTTCCGTGGTACTGTTAGTATTGTTTTCAGTTACTAGGTTTTCTTATAGTTGATTTCGCATTCTTCATGTCTCATTGCTTATCTGTACAGTCTGTCTTTCTGTTATGGTTATATCTTGGAAAAATATCTCTAGTCAATTAACCTGACTGTTGATGCATCTAGAAAGCCGGCCGGTAATAGTCTGGTATAATCTTACTTAACTCACCATAATGGTATTATCTTCTTAAACATGATACTTAGTGATATTTCTTGTAGTAAGCAAGTTAATGAGAATCTATATCAACTTGCTGACATTGTTAAGTAATTAGACCTATTTGTCGTTTCACTATTGATATCCTTTTCCCCTCTGTCTTTTAACCAGATGCATCATGCCTGCGACGTGTGATGGTCTATACTGATGGTTCATGTAATGGTGCACATGATGATCGTCGTGCTGGTTATGGTGTTTACTGGGGACCCAATCATCCATGGTAAGCATCAAATTGGCTCTTATCATTCCAAGGAATGTCTCTGAGCGGTTAGAAGGAGAGCAAACAAATAATAGAGCAGAAATTGAGGTAAACTTTTATTTTGATAATAATTGCTTCTAAATATCAATCACATGTATTTAGAAAGTTTTCTGTAACTAGCTTATTATTAATACTGGTATGTAATAAAAGATGTTACCTTGAGCTTCAGGCCGTCAAACGCCTTCTCATAGTGAAAGAAATTAATGTATAGTGACGAATTCCAGTCAATTGATCCGTAGTGTCGCAACTTGGTCTGTGCACGATCGATTCTTACAGAGTCCAGCCTGTTGATCTCGAAGTTGGACGTCTACTGAATCTTCCACTCGGTTCAACAACACTCTGTTGAAAACTTTTCCTGGTACCGATAGTAGTGTGAAGTCTCTGTATTTCTCACACTTGCTGAGATCCACTTTCTTTGGTGTCTCGATGAGATATCCTTCTTTCCAGTCTATCGGCACTTGTTCTTCTTCCCAAATCTTCGTGAATAGAACGCGAAGCATGTTTGCAGTTACCTCTATGTCTGACTTCGGCGCTTCAGGTGGCATATTGTCAGGTCGTGCTGCTTCCTCACTGTTGATTTGTCTGATGGCCATGTTGATTTCTTCGACCGTTGTGCAATGACATCTATAGGAAGGTCTGTGCGTTTTGCTTCGATGTCTGGTGAATTCAGTGGGACTGATCTTTTCAAGAGTTCTTCAAAGTGTTCTACCTACCTGCCTTTCTGGTTTTGAATCTGAGTGATTGGCTTGCCTTCTTTGTTGTTGACCGGTCTCTCTGCCTTACCATATTTCCCTGCCAGTTTCTTCGTTGTATCATACAGTTGTCTCATATTTCCTTCTCTTGTAGCTTTTTTCCGCTGTCATTGCTAGGTCTTGCACATATTTCCGCTCGTCGGTTCTAATGCTCTTCTTCACTTGCTTGTTTACTTTTGTGTATTCGGTCTGTGCTTTGACTCTTTCTGTTCTTGTTCGGCTGTTGTTATTTTCTGTCTTCTTGTTCTTCCTTTCTTAAATCTTATCCAAGGTTTCAATAGAGATTCATTCCTTATGATGATGCATTTTGTGGTCCACCACCTAACACGTTGAAATTAGTTATTCCTTGTTTTTTCCCAGTTTTTCTCCATAGTAGTTTCTTCTTCCAGTATATCCTGTAAGGATTGGTAGCTGTTGTTGCGAGTTATCTTGAATTCGTTGAGTTTGTCAGTATATCGAAGAAAGACTGTACTGAACCGTTGTAATGCTGTTTTTCCAGTTGTCCATTGCTTTTTTAGCTTCAGTTTCATTTTGGCATCCACTTATAATTACTAGGTTGCAAATCTGTCACCATTCTCGTTCTTTTCTCACAGTCCATATCGTCCCTTGATATCTTCATGTCCAGTGTTGTTCATCCCGACTTTCGACCGGTATGAGCAGCCTACCGTCCTTATTGGTCTTATGTTCGCCTAGCCCGTCCTCTTGAGTCCAGAACATAAATACCAGCTTCCACTAAGCGAATCGAATCATTTATTTCAGGCATACTGGGTTTATGTATCAACCAAACAGACCGCAACGCACCATAAAATAGGGAATAACATTTGTACACAATAAAGCCAAAAAGTGGCTGTGAACGTGGGAGGCAATAGTTAATGAGTTGAACATAGCTTAAGAACAGTAAATCGTACAATAATAAACTATAGGTCAAAGCAAAGCTTATAACAAAGGTCAGTCAGTCAGTCAGTAACAACGTGGAACTTCGTACGTACGTACATCAGTTCGATTTGCCATATCACATTAGCACAGATTCAGTTATCGATTGAAATCCCATAGTGGTAGAGGCAGTAAAAGTATAAGCAGTAATCGGAAACATTAGGGTTTGAAGATGTTATTCAAGGAGTATAGTCCAGTGAAATAAATTTGGAAAAAAAGGACATGAAGAATTCAGAAGATTAGAATTTGGGAGAACACAAAGAGTGGATGCACCTGCGCCATTGCGAACGATTTTGAGCCATGTCATTCAAAGTCTCTAACCATCGGTTGATATCATCTCGCGGTCTCCAACCAAGTAGTCTACATCTACCAACATGACTCAGTCTATTTATCAGTGACTTCATGGATTTGTGCCATGTTTTGGTCTGGCCGCTCCTAGCTTTCTTCCAACCTACTCCTACACCAGAAAACATCTCACGTCGGGGCAGTCGGTGGTCGGGCATGCGCAACACATGTTACATCGAAGGATATCATTAGTTCGTCGTTGTTGATTTGAGTGTCATTAATTTGTTCCAGGAATTGTGCAGGGGATTTGATGGAGTGGTTGGATGAATCGACTCAATGTTTCAGTATTCGTGAAATTTCTTTTGATAAATTGTATGTTGGCGTTCCGGGCAGTGCTACAATTGGACGTAGTGGAATGTTTGGTTTGTGTATTTTTGGTCTTCCGTAGAATCGGGGGAGTACTGGTCCATTGGATTTCATTCTCCATTGATCTTGTTTTGTTATTTCTCCTGCTTTGACTAGCTTGTTTAATGTCTTTGAGATTCTGTTGTCCAATTTTTTGACAGGATTTATATCTATCTGTTTGTATGTGTTCTTATCTTCAAGTAGTTGTTCGGCTTTTTTGAGGTATTCCTCCCTGTCCATAACTACTGTTGTGCGTCCTTTGTCCGCTGGAACGATGACAATATCCTTTCTCGTTCTAAGTTCCTTCAAGGATTTTTGTTCTTGTGCGGTCAGTTGGTTGTTTTCCTTCACCCGTTGCGTTAGCGGTACTATAGTTTGCCTTATTTCTTGTTGTGTTTCCTCACTGAATCCAGAAGTTTTGAGTGATGACTCTAGTGCTGCGAAGAATTCCAGTTTTGAGGCGTCGCTTGTGTTGTAGTTTAATCCTTTTTGGAGTAGGTGTTCTTCCGTGTTTGTTAGTGGTTGTTTTGATAGATTGATCACGCAGTTGTTTGTGTTTTCTTCCTTGGGTGCTTTTGAGATATTGATTAGTTTTTTCTTTAGGGTGTTTCTTCTTTGTTCTCTGTGTCGTTTATATGATATCTCGATGGCTGTTGTCAAGATTTCTAAATGTTCTGACGTCAGTGTCCTTTGTAGTTTCATCTTTTGTTACTCTATGATGTGTTGGTATTTGCGGATTCTCAATCCGCAAATAGCAACACATGTCCCAGTCATCTCAACTGATTAAGTTTCACTACTTCCTCAATTGATTTGCCATCCTTACCTAGTAACCGTTTCCTAACAACTGCATTACTTACTCGGTGTTCCCAAAATATACGAGCAATGTTTTGAAGACACCTACGATCGAATACTAGTAGCCTATGAATATCCTCTACTCTTACCAGCCATGTTTCACAGCCGTAAAGTAGGACGGAACGAACTGCTGCGCAGTGAACCCGTCCTCTGGTTGGTAGACAGATATCTATCCTACGCCATAAATGACGTAAGTCGGCAAAAGCTAGTCGAGCCTTCTGTATCCGTGCTGAGATTTCGTCACACACCAAACCACAAGGGCTGATGAGACTCCCAAGATAAGTGAAGCGGTCGACACGCTCAACTACTTCACTCCCTATCACTAGTTCGGGTGTCGACGCAACCCAATCCTGAAGCAATATTTTGTATTTCGAGGGAGAGAATCGCATGCCGCACATGCCTGCATTGTTGCTTAGAGTGGTCAGCAGACTGCATTCTATCAGCGTCTTCACTAAATAGAACTATGTCATCGGCATATTTTAAGTCAACAAGTGGATCTCCCGGTAGAAGTTCAACTCCTAGGAATTTAGATGAGGAAAGTGTCATCTCTAAAAGGACGTCAACAACAAAGTTAAACAAGAATGGAGAGAGTGGACAGCCCTGACGAACACCACTTGAGGTAATCAATTCTGATGACAGTTCGCCATAAACTCTCATTCGACCAAATGTGTTAGAGTAGAGATCCTGTATGAGGTTAATGTACTCCTTTCAGTGACAAACACTGCCGTAGAACTTCACGACCGACAGTGGCAAACGCCGCCTTTGTGTTGAGAAATACTGCTATTGTGGGGCGTCTGAATGTTTGTTTATGTTCTAGAACCTGACATAGTGTGAATATCTTGTCTATACAGTCACGACCAGGTCGAAAACCAGCCTGGTTTTCTCTAGTCTGCTCTTCATGAGCTTTGGTTAGACGTCGAAGTATTATTGAAGCTAATATTTATTCTCTTTATTAGTCAGACTGATTCCAGTCTAAGAGAGCTAGTTCTGCCCTAGGACTCAATGCTATACCTACGCCAGCGAGGCCACGGGAAGCAGCATCAGGGCTTCCAGATACACGAAGCGTAAATCGAGTTGGTTCGTTACTTTGACATGGTGCGGTCAAATGAATGACACTACTAGGATCCTGTATGCGCGTTTTGGAGACGCAGCACACATCGATGGAGCGAGATTCTAAAGTCCTAGCTAAGGAAGCCTGTTGTCCTATTTGGCACAGTGTTCGGACGTTGAAAGCTCTTATGTGTAGTTTAGAGCGTGGTTTCAGGAGACCAGAAATAACATTCCGCGTACTCGAATCGTTTGTACTAGCGGGGAGAGGTGATAAAGGGTATTTCTTGAGGAACCTGAAAAGGAAATCGGATTAGTGTTGGTCTTAGCGACCTGGGTGTGTGACCGCAGAGCCCAAGGGACAACTGCTTGAGGCCGGTCGCGCACGGCCTTTATGTGGGAGGTTTTTAATGTGTTAGCTCCGTTCTTCAAACGGCCTTACCGCCAGAGACGGAAATCCATGAGAAGTGACATTTTTTCGGGTCGATCTTCTCTAACCCCTTCCTTCCTTGTGAGAAGGCAGCATCACTGCAGATGTTGGTTGTTCAAGGGAAACACCTTACTACTGTGATACCCCTCTACAGTCAACAGTACGACTTCGCCCTCAGACCTTGAGTTGCTACTTTTAGTCTTACCGTTCTCCAATCGACCTGCCTGGCATGGTAGAACCTACAGGAACATATGTCCCAGCCAATATAGCTCGGTTGGGTCATCACGATAGGCAAGCCCGACCACCACGTCAAGGTAGCAGCTACGGTCGGCCTCGTGACTTTAGAACAATCTCAGTTCTGACCCTGAAGTGTCATAATTCTTGTAAATGAATATCCTTCGAATCGGAGAGCAGAGTTTAAATTGTTTAATTTGTTTATTCTGGTTAGCATTTTTTAGCAAGGTTGTTCTCTACAGGACATCCAGTGTTAACACCATGTTAGAATTCCAGAGGCCCAGTATTGTGTGTTCGGGCACAGCAACGATGATGCAGTCATTGTCACCAGTATGAATCATTGACTTTGGTGACTTGGACATATTCTACGAATGCTATCCCAGAGAATTCCATATCATTCATTATTTGCCGACGTTGGGACTGGTTGGAAAAAGCAGTGACGCGGTCAGTGTATGACATGGTGTCGTGGTATGAAAGAAAGCTGTACGGGACTGGCTTCTGTTGGTCCTTCACGACTCCCTGGTTGGTGTCCTAGAGATAATGCAACATAGTGGCTATAGACTTTACCATACATGGCTCAGAATTGAAGCCAGTGGTGATACTGCTTTAAATTTCTTTTAATTCATGAAAATGTAAGCAACTTCAAGTGAAAGAGTTCCTTTTGGTTATATTTTTGCTAACTGAAATGTTTCTCCAATTACTACTATTAGTTATTATTAGGTGTTTCGCTTGTCTGGGAATTCTTGTCAGCCCTGATCGGTTTGTATTTGGGGAAGTCTCAGTACCATTCAAAAAGCTCGCTTAGCTTTTGCGAACTTACATCACCTGTCGAGTAAATCAGGTTTTTATCTAATGTATCTCAGCACGGATACAGAAGGCTCGACTAGCTTTTGCCGACTTACGTCATTTATGGCGTAGGATAGATATCCGTCTACCAACCAGAGGACGGGTTCACTGCGCAGCAGTTCGTTCCGTCCTACTTTACGGCTGTGAAACATGGCTGGTAAGAGTAGAGGATATTCATAGGCTACTAGTATTCGATCGTAGGTGTCTTCAAAACATTGCTCGTATATTTTGGGAACACCGAGTAAGTAATGCAGTTGTTAGGAAACGGTTACTAGGTAAGGATGGCAAATCAATTGAGGAAGTAGTGAAACTTAATCAGTTGAGATGACTGGGACATGTGTTGCGCATGCCCGACCACCGACTGCCCCGACGTGAGATGTTTTCTGGTGTAGGAGTAGGTTGGAAGAAAGCTAGGAGCGGCCAGACCAAAACATGGCACAAATCCATGAAGTCACTGACAAATAGACTGAGTCATGTTGGTAGATGTAGACTACTTGGTTGGAGACCGCGAGATGATATCAACCGATGGTTAGAGACTTTGAATGACATGGCTCAAAATCGTTCGCAATGGCGCAGGTGCATCCACTCTTTGTGTTCTCCCAAATTCTAATCTTCTGAATTCTTCATGTCCTTTTTTTCCAAATTTATTTCACTGGACTATACTCCTTGAATAACATCTTCAAACCCTAATGTTTCCGATTACTGCTTATACTTTTACTGCCTCTACCACTATGGGATTTCAATCGATAACTGAATCTGTGCTAATGTGATATGGCAAATCGAACTGATGTACGTACGTACGAAGTTCCACGTTGTTACTGACTGACTGACTGACATGTGGCCGATACCCCTTCTAACAGCCAGAGAAACAAATGCTATAGTTACATGGAATATCTGGACAATGTGAGAGCCCGGAGGACTAATCAAGTGGCTGCGGAAATGAGGAAATACATCTTAACGGTCCTCGGAATCAGCGAAACCCAATGGACCCAAACCGGTCATAAAGAAGTAATTACTTCGCACACTCACGAAAAGCGCTTAAAGGATGATAGTCTGATGGATCCAGGATCATTAAAACATCTTTCAAAATAAAGAAGTGAATCGCAATCAATGTTATCCAGTGTTATCCACCCTGTTATGTTCTAGTGAAGATTAAATTACGGGTAACTCCCGAGGACTATTAATGAACTAATATTATTTATATATTCTCATGGTATAAATATTCAGTAACTAGATTATGTATATCTATATTCCCCTTTGTTATAAGCTTTGCTTTGACCTATAGTTTATTATTGTACGATTTACTGTTCTTAAGCTATGTTCAATTCATTAACTATTGCCTCCCACGTTCACAGCCACTTTTTGGCTTTATTGTGTACAAATGTTATTCCCTATTTTATGGTGCGTTGCGGTCTGTTTGGTTGATACATAAACCCAGTATGCCTGAAATAAATGATTCGATTCGCTTAGTGGAAGCTGGTATTTATGTTCTGGACTGAAGAGGACGGACTAGGCGAACATATCAGTACGAAACTCCATGTTTAAGTAAGGCATTTCAAATCGATCGGTGATGTAGTGAATTTTCGTCAACTGTGGTGATTGAAACACATGCACAATCATTACCTATTTCGACTCATGGTAGTGGGTGCTGTAGGATTAAGTTTGAAGAATTCTAAAGGTAGTCAACTAAAAATATACCATCAGTTCATGAAGTCGTTGACTGTTGGACTGAGTCGTGTTATTAGGGGCAAACTAGCTGGTTGGGATGCGCATAATTATTGTATCTAGTGGTTGGAGATGTTGGCTGACATAGCTCAGAGAACGTTTGCACTTAGATAGATGCATTCACTTTTTGCCTTCCTCTACATTTTGACATTGATAATTGTTTTATACATTTTATTCCACTAATTCTTCTCAAATCACATTGCGTATATCTAGTTCTTTTATATTATTGATGTTACTACTTTTGCTCCGGCGCTTTAACCGGACCTCAAATCAATGGTGCACATGGGCTCCAGTATCCTGAAGGAACAAATGGCGTATGAACCAATCGTTGGTCACCGGCTACCATGGGACTGCATCTCCTCCCGATGCTCCACTGCCTTGTGGGTCAGACGTTCAGGTCAAAGTCTCGGGGTGTGGCCCCCTAAGAAAACCACCTGCTTCGGTTTGGGCACCCGGGCAGTATCACCGCCCTCACACTTATCAATTGAGATTTGTGTGGCGCATATGTATTTGGTGCCTCCCTGTACCTATACTTATGTGTTAAAATAAATAAATAAATAATACTACTTTTGCTGCTCTGCTTTTTGTTTTGGCAGTTTCATGTCGCTTTTGTGATATGGTGTAGCAAAGTGAACTGATCCCATATGTGCCAAATTCTACGTTGCTTATGACTAACTGACTGACTTTTATCTGTCTTATATTTTTGGTTCATAACCTCAACCAGTCAGTCAAATGCAACATGGAACCTAGCACTCATGTACATCAGTTCAAGTTGCCATACTCCATTAGCACAGCGAAATTAAACTTTTAGGACAAATCGCAGAATAGTAGAGGTAGTAACAATATTAATGCTAGTAGGAGTTCATAACTTAGTTTGTAGCCGTATCTGTAGTGCTTACCGAGTTACATTACTCATATATTTAATGCACATTGACCAAAATAAAAATTTACAATTAAAAAAAATGCGTTTCTTTAAATTAGGCTGTGATATGTGCAATTAAACAGGCACACATTGGTGGTATCACTCATTTGGGAATAGTTACTGATAGTAAATTCACTCAAAACTGTGCAACAGAATGGGGTCAACGATGGGCGCGAAATGCTTGGAAATTAGCCAATGGTGAAGATGCTAAATTAAAAGAACCAGTTAAACGATTACTTGAAGTTATCGCTGAATCAGGAATTGAAATAATTTGGGTAAATTGTTTTGCTTTTTAGTGTGGATTCGCTTTCTTCCTTTTAATATAATTATGAAGTAATCGTATCAGACTAGAGCGTTATATCATTTATTGTGTAATATGGATAATCTTGTGTATCGTTTATCGTTTACTATCTTTGTCAGTGTTTGTGGGAATAATCAGCATCAATTATATGTCATATCGGATCGTACTACTGTTGATATTACTATTATTTATATTTATCCAGTTGACTCCATCGATTTTTTTCTCGTAAAAGTTATTCATGTGATATGTGAAAACAGATGTGTTTCATACTTACAGAAAGGCTGTATATAACTAAACTCGCGTAGTTTTTATTTGAGCTCTGAGGTTAAGCTCCCAGGTCGTTAAGATCACGTCTAACCTAGTTTCTATTTCAGATACTTATCATGGGGCTTATAGCGCCTCTGCCACACTTTTGTTTAGTTTAGTTTTGCCAAGCCCTTCAATTAACTTTAACAGATAGTGCTATTCGAACAGTAACAGTTTGATATCGTGGTATTATTACTATTATCACGTCTGTGTGAACGTATATCCTTGATCGCATGTGACAGCTTACTCATATATCCCTCTTTCTAGCTTAAATGTTAATTGCTTAAATTTCTCGATGCATTATCCGGTTTCTTACATATGTGCTAGTATCTTATTAAATCATTTAATTCTTTATTCACTTGAGCATTCGTCCGCATTAGCACTTGTGCTCGAATTCACTTGATGTTTTTGTGGCTCAATGATCTATGCTATTCAGTGGTAAACTGTTGTCGGCGCTTCGTGTTGCCTTCTTAAATCCATACACCATTGGGATTCATTTGATAACGGTTATCAGGGCGATCGATATGCGAAGCCTAAGGAATTATCTCGACGATAATCCGCTATAGGCTAACGTACATACTTGCCAAGTTCTGTGTTAACGATGATTTACTTACTGATGTATTTGGTATTTAAAGACAATCGGTTGGAAACACTATGTTCTATGCCCATTGGGACTCATCATCTAGGCGTTCGCACTCCTAAATAAATTTGTACTCCTCTCGAAAATCGAACTTTGCATAACAGTCAAATATTTTAACATTTAGCGGTTCCAGCCACAATAAACTTACGGAATCGGTATTTCTACAATGATTGGTGATTGGATTTGATAGTGAACAAGGTGATGTCGAGTACTGTATGTGGAAGTTTTTCATTTCAAAGTTGCTCACACCATGAGTGGATGCTTCCTAAGGAAATTAAATTAGTAGTCGTTTTAGAGACCTGCATAAGTAACTACAGACTTGAGGGACAATTGCTTAAGGGCATGTCACTTGCGGGTACTACAAAATTCTTACCTTCAACGTCTGGATCAGTTTAGTAAAGTGGAGTGTACTGCTTCTAGGGCCGATCTTTTGAAATTTTTTCCTTCAGTTGTGAGAAGGCAACACCTTCGTAGGTGTTGGTTTTCTAAAGAAAACACTTTACTCCTGTGACACACCTGTATCGTCAGCAGCACGACTTCATGCTCGGACCTGCCCCCAAATGCCCTGGTACGGCCGAGAGTGGGGAGAGTCCGCTCTCCCTCTCGAAATGCTCTCACATGGCCATGCGTATATAGCCTCTGCCAGGGAAGTCCTACTCACTGCCTTCTCGTGGCGGGGGTTTTGTTTACAAAAATGAGAGGACGAAAAGCGAATGTCTGGCGCTTTAACCGGACCCCAAACCAATGGTGCACATGGGCTCCAGTATCCTGCGGGAACAAATGGCGTATGAACCAATCGTTGGTCACCGGCTATCATGGGACTGCATCTCCTCCCGATGCTCCACTGCCTTGTGGGTCAGACGTTCAGGTCAAAGGCTCGGGGTGTGGCCCCCTAAGAAAACCACCTGCTTCGGTTTGGGCACCCGGGCAGTATCACAGCCCTCACACAAATCAATTGAGATTTGTGTGGCGCATATGTATTTGGTGCCTCCCTGTACCAATACCTATGTGTTAAAATAAATAGATAAATGTGTTGAGAAATACTACTATTGTGGGGCGTCTGAATGTTTGTTTATGTTCTAGAAGGGTATTTCTTGAGGAACCTGAAAAGGAAATCGGATTAGTGTTGGTCTTAGCGACCTGGGTGTGTGACCGCAGAGCCCAAGGGACAACTGCTTGAGGCCGGTCGCGCACGGCCTTTATGTGGGAGGTTTTTAATGTGTTAGCTCCGTTCTTCAAACGGCCTTACCGCCAGAGACAGAAATCCATGAGAAGTGACATTTTTTCGGGTCGATCTTCTCTAACCCCTTCCTTCCTTGTGAGAAGGCAGCATCACTGCAGATGTTGGTTGTTCAAGGGAAACACCTTACTACTGTGATACCCCTCTACAGTCAACAGTACGACTTCGCCCTCAGACCTTGAGTTGCTACTTTTAGTCTTACCGTCTAAACGAAGGATTGAAATAGTGAGTACGAATTCAAAATCATAGTATTTACAAGCGTGAGTCTTAAATCTAACGATACGGTTTACTTAACAATTTTTACAATACGACAACAGCCAATGTGTATCCATTTCATCATTTCTTATATTGCAAATCCTTTAATAACATGCAAATTTTTCTATAAAATGGTTTATAAGTGTAACATGAGTAAAGTCATTTAGTTTATCAGTCAAAAACAGTTCATTTTAGATAGAAATAGCCTATTCTTCCAGGGTAATGATCTTGTCCTCTTATATCAACTCGTTTTAGGGTTTGAGTCAACAATTCTATGTTTTAGTGATCAATACTCGGCCATATTACACCATTGTATTTCACTGCACCGACCGACATTCTATTTCAATTCACTTTTACGATGTTAAACCTCTCTTATTCATCCAACTGTCCTCTATGAAAATTCATGCGGAATTGGAATGAGCGAGTATGTGTGTGTGTGTGTGATTAGAAAACTTCTATCCACTTTATGTCTTGTATGCACCGCAAATATTTCGTGTTATTTCGTTGCTTCTCCTTTGTTTCCCGATTCGTTTTTTCTCTATTCTTATTCAGTACCATGTTCGTGGTCATCAAGGTGTACACGGTAATGAAGAAGCAGATTCGTTGGCTAATATTGGTGCTAGTAAACCATTACCAAAGAAATAAACAAACGAGCAAACGCGCGCGAGAGAAATCGTTCAATTTTTTGTTGTACATATTAAAAAACGAGGGAAATCTATTAATGTTTAATAAATCTATGCATAAATCATATGCCACACTTATCTTTTGTTTTGATTTTTTATTCTCACATTCTCTTTGTTTTGTGAGTCTTCGTCTGGTTCTTTTTTACTTATATTGATTGTGAATTTAATCTATTCTGATCATGTGGTATGACTGGTTGGTTGATTCATTGAGTTCTGTTATTGTCAAATATGTATTTATCTATTTATTTATTCACCCATTTACCGTGTATAGAATAGTATAGTTAACTTCGAGTTATATTCTAAGTATGTGGTGCTATTGATACTAAATCTGGTTGATAAAAACCAAAATGTGTTGTGGTTGGGTTCTGCATTAACCACTGGACAACCGTTGTGCTTGTCTTGTGCTAATAGAATTCTATCGATCAAGATGCTATGTGTGCCGGCCACTAGCAGTAGTCTAAGTGACTGGACATCGTTCGCGTTAGGTGTAGAATTTAGGCGGTTAAGTGTTTCGTACTAGTTGTCTCTCGTCCATAAGTCTCATCTACAATTCTGTGGCAACTAATAATCCTTGTGAAACTCGAACCCGACGAGATCCACTTCTATAGTGTGATACGTCAATACTGTGCTATTCAGGCTGCGATTGAGATATCCACGTTGACTGATCACTGAGAAGTGGTCACTGTTATGTTCTTTATTGCCCTGGATATTATTTATATATGTATCTTTCAGTCTGAAAAGTAAATATCTGTTAGAATAAGGTATCTACAGTCATTACCATACAAAAGGGATGTAAAATCAGTCGCGATACCCATGGTCCATAAATTTGACATGTGAATCCAATTCAAATTATCAGAGTTCTGTTACCGGCGGTTAGTTATACAATGTAGATGTTGCTGTAAAATAAATATCGATAGTCTAATGAGAAAATATAGTTCTGATAATCTTTGTTTTCTTATTACACTATCAAAATTAATATCTCTTGAAAACTAGTTGACACTGGTATCGCCAAGAGTGGGGATAGTCCGCTCTCTCTATCTCTCCAAATACTCTCAAATGGCCACGTGCATACAGCCACTACCAGGGAAGTCCTACTCACTGCCTTCTCACATCAGGGGTGTTGTTTACGAAATCGAGAGGACGAAAAGCGAATGTCCAGCGCTTTAGCCAGGTTGGTGGATATGGAGGATCTACCTGGGGGAGTTGGGAAACCCTGACTCCAAACCAATAGTGAACATGGGCCCCAGGATCCTGAGAGAACAAAAGGCGTGAGAACTAGTTTTTGGTCACCGGCTACCATGGGACTGCATCTCCGACGTTGTTCCACTACCTTTTGGATTAGACCTTTAGGTCGAAGGCTCCGGGTGTGGCTCCCTAAGAAGACAACCTGCTTCGGTTTGGGCACTCCGGTACTATCCCAGCCTCCACACAAATCGAACGATTTATGTTTGGTGCCTCCTTGTACCAATGTTTATGTGTTCAAATCAATTCGTTTCACAACTAGAAATTTGACTGGAGCGCACTTCAGCTTAGCAAACTCGTTATTTAGTTGACATATTGATATCTCGTATATTCTACAAGTAATGCGAGTTGACCAAAAACAACTGAGTTCTTGTCGAGATTTTATCAAATACCAACCCGCCATGGCTGATGAGACTTCCAAGATAAGTGCACACTCAACTACGTCACTTCCCATAGCTTTACTGATACTTTCCCTTTTTTAAATCCATTTATAGATGTCTCAAATGTTGACAATCGATATAAAGCCAACCAAATCGTTTCCTGGCCAGAAACCAGGTACAAGTGGTTTACGTAAACCAACAAAAACATTTATGCAACATGGGTACACTGAGAACTTCATACAATCCATTTTAAATGCAGCTGTTGGTGAATTGTTGGACAAATCTCAACCAGTTCGACTTCTTTTAGGCGGGGACGGTCGGTATTTTGTACGAGAATCATTACAAAGTATCATTATCCCAATATGCTTAGCTAATGGGGTGTGTCTCCATTTTTTAAAATAAAAATAGTTTGTTTATTGAAGTTTCGTGGGGTTTGGTTTATGTTCCAGGTTGAATTATTTGTCTCGTCGTGCTAATTAAGTATGGAAACTTGGGTTAAGGCACGTCTGCATCAGGTTCTATGTTGATGATGTTAGTCTATTTTGACAGACTGATCTGTTTTGGGATACCATTAAGAATCCGATGGACACTGGACTGCTCCTTCCTCCCAGTACGGGGTTCCACAGTAAAAATGCTAGGCGTTTACAACCCCATCAAGGATCGAACCCAGTACCTTCGAGTCTTGCAACAGAAGTTCACCTATTGGGACTACTAGTGACTTCGAGATGTTTCTGAAGTCCCAGGAAGAAACCGTGACTGGTGGAGTTCAGACACGACTGGAGTGAAACTGATGCCAACAACTGTATTGAATGTCCATCTTCTTATATCTCTAATTGGTTGAATTTGAAGTTGTCCCATTGGACAACGGCCCACTAGTTCGAATTGTCAAGTGTCTTGGGGATCGATCCGTAATGGGACTGTGGGTGCACACTACTACTGTGGAGTTCTGTATTAAAGTGAAACGGTTGTGCAGAGCTTCCTAGTTTTCAGTGATTTTCTTAGGTCAGTCTTTGTGATATGATAGGACAAACAGTGAGGAAGTTTAACTCGTGGGACTATCATTACAAAAATCATTACTTATGCTTTTTTTATTGTATAATTAGTAGACCCTTGTATTGTTTCATTTTTATATTCTCCGATTTCTAAGCTTTCGTTTAATCTATAAATCATTATCATATGTCTTATTGCTTCAAATGTATCACCTTAAAGTGTTTAAGTCCTATTGTTGGTTGGCACTACATATACAGAATTAAGTATTTTGACCTTGAGGAAATGAACACCTTTTAACAAGGTAACCGTAGACTTTTCTGCTAAGTTATTATAATTTTTGATGGTTGGAATTGAATAAATGAATTTATCTCTGATTATTTCGAATTATAATATCAATCATATTCTGTCTGCTCATGATGAACCTACTAGTTTAGCCTTGGCTCTAAATTCACTAGTTTTGTATGTTCACTTGTAAATTGAGTAACCACTTAGACTCATGACTAATAGATAATGCATAGTTTATTTCACATCCTTTTCTTCTGTATGGTCCTTAGGTATCTGAATTGTTTGTTGGTCAAAATGGAATCCTGTCAACTCCAGCTGCATCATTCATAATTCGTAAGCATCAATTGAATGGTGGTATTCTTCTAACAGCTAGTCATAATCCTGGTGGACTAAATGCAGACTTTGGTATTAAGTACAATTGTGGGAATGGTGGACCAGCACCAGAGAAATTAACAGACGCTATTTTTGCACAAAGTCAAAAATTGACTTCTTATAAAACTGTCAAGGAACCATTAAATATTCAGTTGGACTGTATTGGTTCAACGAAATATACATTATCCAATGGTCAAACTCCCATGGTAAGTAGTTAATTGTTTTGTAGTAGACAATAATATGTTTCAGACATTTTTGTGTAGGGCGAGACTGTAATTTAAGGACGAGTCAATCAGAAGCGTTTGAGCCATTTCAAGGTCACGGACCCAAGTTTAACGCATGATGCTCACATACGATCGGTTTACAGCGGATTTTAAAGAAGTGGTTATTATTGAGAGGCTACAAGAGATGGGACTACTAAGAAGTTCTTGTACGTGTGACTGCGGTTATCAAATGACTGCAGTAAAATGTGCAGACCACCGCGGTGAGATTATATTCCGTTGTCCTTCATGTTGGAGGAAAAAGTCTGCTTGAACGGGGACTTTCTTTGCTCGATCGCGACTGAAATTGAGACAGATCATGATAATAGTTGCGAATCGGGTAATAAAGACACCAGTAACACTGGCTGCGGCATTTGCAGATGTTACTGAAACCTCAGCAGTTCAGTGATATGAGTACTGTCGTAACATATGCGCAACTAAAATGACAAGTATACACCAATCTTTCGGAGAAGTAGGATGTATCGTGGAGATAGATGAAACGGTAGTGAGAAAGATAAAATACAACAGGGGGCATAGTATAAAGGACGATTGGGTAAGTAGCATTTTCGTAAATATACTTGACAGGTATTTGGGATTTATGATAGATCAACTCGAAAGGGACATTTTCAGATGATCACAAACCGGAAAGCAACCGCAATAATACCAATAATACAGGAATACGTGCTGCCGGGTACTACGATATATACGGATGACTGGAGAGCATATAGATGTCTTCAAAGACTTGGATATGTCCATCACGTTGTAGTCCACAAACGTCATTTCGTTGACCCTACAACCGGGGTTCATACTAATAACATTGAAGCGATGTGGTCAAGATTGGAGTTTTTAAGACCATATCACGGCTCCATATGGATGAGTTCTTATACCGTATGCAATATGATTTCAAAACATCTGAACATTTATCAAATCTTAACAAGTTTTTAAATCATATAAAAGAAGTATATCCACTGTAATTCTTTAGTTTCTTCTAATATATTTTTACTTTATACTAACTGTTTTCTGATTGGCTAATATTCTCAACGTCATTTAAAATTCGTTCAAAGATCGTCCCTAAATTAGAGTCTCGCCACTATTCAGTGGATTGGAGGATTACATTTTAGTTAACGGGATCAAACTTTCAACCAATTAAATCGGGGGTTCTGGTTGTTTTTTAGTTATTAAATACTAATCAACTATGGAGTAACACTAACTCCTACACAAAAACTGAGTAGAACGTAAACATGCACTTGTTAAATAGTTTAGGTGAAAAAAAACACTAAGGATAGAAATATAGTTTGTAGATGTTATATTCCCTGAGCTGGATGGTTCAGTCGTAAAGGTTTCATTGTTTCTTTTAGACAACACCATCAACAAATATTGTAAAAGAGTAGTGAACCATTAGGATTTCTTCACAGTTGGCTAACAGTACTCTGTTTACCTAGGAGAATTTGGTTGGCTCTTGTCTCTTTATTGTATAGCCGTCGTCTGCATGCTTATGTTGGACTCTTTCACTCTTAACCTGACCTTTGACCCTGACGTTGTTTATCCTTTTCTTACTAATTGTTAGATCGGGTCAATCTCGATGTATTGCTATTGATTGATGCGTAATTAAAGTGTTAGACCTCTGGAAATCTGACTTTATTTATATTCCATCTGTTCAATATTTTGACGTTATAATATTTTGATTCTCATCCTTTAATTGTCTACATGCCAAACTATGTCGTAGTATTTTTTTTGCTAGCTAGTGTTCATGTAGACGGTACACTTGTGACATTTGGAAAAAATAATGGGTTTTTCTCCCGCTCGGTAAACTCAACCCGCTAAAAGTTATAGTTAACGTTGGAATTTTATTAAATGTTTGCTAGGGGTTTTGAAAAAAAAGCAGTTTTGCTTTAACAGTTTTCATAAATTTATTTATCATAGCTTAAATCACGAACTGACCTATACCACAATTGATTACTAGAAAATCCTAGTATCAGTATACATCCGTGACCCCGTATCCGGTAATCGAACCCAGAACCTTCAGTCCCACGTAAGAACCCATAATCTGTAGACCGCTAAACCAAGGTCCAGTTGTGTACGAGTCTAACTTCAATCAATTCACGGTTTTACGACACTTATCCATTGTTTACGGTGGATAACTGCCTCATACCCGGCATGGTTAGAACTCCATTAGTCACGGCTTCTCACGAAAACTCCAGGACATGTATGTTTAAGCTAATCCCTGGTAATTACTGACAATGTAGACGTTTTATACTTTCTTTATCACGAACTAATCTTAGCTAGACCACCATGCACGGTTGTGGATGTGCACTGCTGGGAAGTCTCATACTAGGACAAAACGACCACCCAATGCCTCCAGATTTTAAATGGTGGTTTAGCTAAGACCACTTAATGGTTTAAACTATGAAAATACCAAAATCTCCACCAATTCCCCTGTACTGAATATTTGTTTGCCTTGATCATTCTCCTATTAATATTTATGAATATATTTTAACATCAGTTAGATGTCCGTTATTTTTGAAAGCAAACATTTTGTTTTATCTTATTCACGATAAGGTAACCATCATAAGCAGTGTTTCTGATTATGCCGATTACATGCGCACATTGTTCGATTTTGATGCTATTACAACACTATTGACTGGTTCGCATGAGCGTGAACCATTTAAATTGCTTGTCAGTGGTCTTAATGGAGGTGAGAGCATTAATATTTATTATAATAATAACAATAATTATTATTTTTGTTGCTAGGTAGTTTATTATTATTACTTGTTTTTGTTGTTGTTAGATATTCGTCATCATAGACACTAATGAGCTGGAGAAAGAAAAGATCACTGAACAAATGTCTTATCCCAGTTTGTATCCATATATGAAGTTAATACTTATGACGTTTCACTGGTTGAAATCATGAATCCATTGAAGCTAGACCACCATGGAAAACCTGGAAGCACTGGACGGCCGTTTCGTCCTAGTATGGGACTCCCGAGCAGTGCGCATCCACGATCCCGCTCCCGCGAGATTCGAACCCAGGACCTATCAGTCTCGCTCTAGGCGCTTAACCAACTAGATCACTGAGCCGGCATCCAACGGTGTTAATGTCTAACTTCAACCAATCCACGAAGTTGCGCCACCGTACACCATTGTCTTCAGTGAGCTGATATCTCACAACAGACCTGGTTGAACTCCACTGGTAACGGCTTCTCACTAGAACTTCAGGAGTATCTCTTGAAGTCAGTCACTAGTGAGCAGATGATTATTATCAGAAGGGATTGTGTGGAGATTTTAGAAATCTCACTGGTTGAAATCATGAATCCATTGAAGCTAGACCACCATGGAAAACCTGGAAGCACTGGACGGCCGTTTCGTTCTAGTGCGGGACTCCTCAGCAGTGCGCAGTGATAATAGAAGCCTTCCAACTTAACTATCTAGCTGAGAGTTTGCGAGACTCATTAGTGGCTTTCAAATATGACTTCCAATTGGATGAGATCCAGTGTCTTTGAATCTTACATAGAGCACCAGTACGTTAGATCTTTAATGATCTACATATTCATGGCATCGGGGTGTATTTGTGTTTGTGTATGTAATAATCATTCGTTGTCTTCGATAACTATCTGTCTCACTTTCCTCTACATGGTTGAACTCTCAATTAGTCACATGGTCTCGTACGTAGAACTTTGGAAATGAGTCTCGATATCAATCAATAGCGAACACTTAGAACTCTTGTTGGGTTGGTCTTTCGTTTTTTAATGTGAGCTTATCAACAATGAAATCAGTGACTTAACTCTTTCTATTTTCATTAATTTGAGGAAACATTTTTCTGAGATTTCTTTATTTCATATTTGCGGTTTAATCATCAAAGGGAATGTAGTCTACCGAGCAAAGTACCTAGCAATATCAAAGTTTCTAGATTATGCATAATTGTATTTTTCCCATCGACGTTTACGTGTCATAACGTTAGGGATTAAGTGTACTTAACTGAAAATGACATTTCTTGAAACTGTTATGATAGTTAAATTTGGAGCAAATTATTTAACAGTGGGTACTTCACTTTTACGTCAGGTGTGATTCATCAAGGTTTATGTTTCACACCTTCCACGGCGTGAGCAGCCGGGAAGTGATAACTGCCTTCATAACTCTATTAGCACCCGAAGTCATCTTGTTGGCAATCGAGTACCTCCCTCACCTTTTAATAATTCTTCCACCCCCACAAATAACTCTTCTCATTCATCTTTATCACCATGCGCCACCAATGCTAATTATTTGAGTTCACGAAATGTTATTCCTGGTATCCTGAAACCACACTCGAAACTACATCTTCGAGCCCTTAATGTTTAAACCTTGTGTAAAAACGAGCCAATGAGGATTAAGAACACGGCTTTTATGCCTTTGCGTAAAATTCAAATATCCTGTGTAACGAGCAGTAAGAATATCTTTTTAGACAGCTCAAAGCATTCAATATGATAATGAAAAATTACTTCTTATCAACATATTAAATAATCAATTCAGTCTCCTTAAATTGTATATAGGAGACAAATCGACACTATCCCTAATTCTTAACCTTAAACCCATGATCCTGAAACTAAAATTAACCTATTAAGATTATATTTCATGGAGGCACTGGTGAGATAGTGCCTTTGGCATTTTTTTAAGAAATCCTTCCATCGATAGCGCTACAGAGCGTTTTTACGTTATAGATGATTTCAGTTCGTGATAAAAACTTTGACTTTTTTCATCCTTCTTTCTCATACGATATATACGTATATAGTCATGGGACCTTATATTCATGAGATATTATGCAATCAACTTGGATTAAATTCAGAGTTAGCTATTAAATCTCAACCATTAGAAGATTTTGGCGGTGGTCATCCTGATCCAAATTTGACTTATGCGGCAGATCTTGTCCAAATGATAGTGGCTGACTCATCAATTGCAATGGCAGCTGCTTTTGATGGTGATGGTGATCGAAATATGCTGATTGGTCGACACGGGTTTTTTGTATCACCATGTGATTCATTAGCTGTGATTGCAGATAATACAGATTGTATTAAATATTTTCAAGAGAATGGTGTTCATGGATTTGCACGAAGTATGCCTACTAGTAGGGCACTTAATCTGTAAGTTTGGTTTGTCTTATGCCTATATATTGGGTTATATCAACTCCATGTGATCGATTTCAAACCATGTACCTTATGGGTTTGCTAGAGTTATTAACGTGAATATCAACACATGAATGTGCCAGGGACATCCAGCTGAAGAATTCTAAATAGGGTGAGACACTCTTGTTGGATGTACTAAAAGACTAAGAGCCGTGTCAGCCCAATCATCTTACCATGCATCTATGACAAATAAACTGAAAAGTTGTAGCTGCATATATCAACAACGCGGAACTATAAAACCTTAATAATATATTCAGACTCGGTAAATAATTTCGCGGTTATCTGGGCTCAGTAGTTCAGCATTAAATGGTTGAAGGTAGGTGTTGACAACATGGCATGATTTAATATTTATAGCCAGACAAAAATAAGCTACAGTCATGTGATGTGTAGAATAAGCATGCACACACATACAGTCATATAAAAATATTCAAGATTAATAAGCGAATAATTGACAAGGTCAAAATATGATTCAAGAAGAATGAACAAACTGGCATGTCTGGAAGTTAAAATAACCCACTTTGGCTTGACATAGTACTAGACACTACAAGTATATCCGCTGTCCAGTCGCTTAAACTAGTGACCATAGAATAACGCATTGGCATTTGAAATGACAGATACTAGTTTTGATTCTCAATACTATCATGTTGACCCATCCATGTGATGAGTCCCATATGGAATGTAATGCATATGTTGGATTCTACTGTGGGGCAATATTCAAAATAATAATGATTTAGTGTATTATTTTGCTGCATAAATTTTCCCTGTATTAATGAAAACCAGAGTTTAGTTGTATATCATCTTTCTATTTGGATGTATTGTATTACAGTGTCTGTAAAAGTCGATCAATGCAATGTTACGAAGTTCCAACAGGATGGAAATTTTTCGGTAATTTAATGGATGCTAAATTATGCTCTTTATGCGGTGAAGAAAGTTTTGGCACTGGTTCTGATCATATACGTGAAAAAGATGGTTTATGGGCATTACTTGCATGGTTGTCTATTTTGGCTAAACGTAGTCAAATTGGTTTGCCAGTAGATGTCGAGTCAATTGTAATGGAACATTGGAAAAAATACGGAAGATATTTTTTCACTAGGTAGGTTACTTTCAATAGTAGCTTAGGACATGCGAAGAATAATTGGTTATCAAGAGGAATTACACAGCGTTTACATATTACGTTTACACAGCCCTCGATCATGAATTTTCATCTCGAGGTCTATCCTGAAATCCAAAGCGTCTTCTCGTCTGATCAACAAGTGTTTTGCTTACCTCGTGCTTTGAATTTACTGAAACTCTTACATTGACGACGGTGACAACTTCGACGTCACTTTCCACAACATACTACTTACAAGCTATCTTGTAGGTAACCTCCTCTACACTCTCCCTCTTCCATGGAATTGTTGAACCTGAAGTCATGCTGACCTCCTTGGTATTCTCACCGTCTGAAGCCACTTTTGGAGCTGGCTAGTATTCATGCGTTTCATTTTGTTGCCTTTCCGGATGGTATACACCGGTCTGCGTATCCTGGCAACTACGTATAATCCTTCCCAAATGAACAATAGATTTCGCGAGCCAAGTCTACCTCCTGCTATTTCCTTTCATCATCTACATTTCACCTCATCTGAGATCTTCTATTTTTCCCCTTGATACTTGTTATAACTTGTGGCCTGCGTGCCCTGTTAATGTATAACGTAATGATACTGCAAATTAGAGAGCAGTGAATTGTCGATCGGACCAATGATGCATAAAACCCGTGCGTGCACTTTAAAGTACTTATCAGTCCTGCTTACTGCCTAACCCAGCCAGTTAATTCCAGAACACCAATCTCAGCCTCTGCGGTATGAATCATTTATTTCAAACATACTGGGTTTATATACCAACCAAACAGACCACATTGTACCATAAAATAGGGGACAACATTTGTACAATATTTAGCCAAAAGTGGCTGTGGTTGTGGAAGATAGTAATTAATAGACGGCATAATTCAGGAATAGTAAACTGTAGAATAATATTTCATAGGTCAAAATAAAGCTCATAATTAGAGGGACATGAATATGTATAGTTTAGTTATTTAACAATTAAACGATAAAAATATACGCATAGTATTGTTCCATTAATGGATCCCAAAAGTTACCATTCATAATGCTTATCGGAACGTAACAATACTGTTTGAATCTCCTTACATTCATCCATTGTTTCTGTCGTACATTTCTCACCGCTTGTTCTCATTCGTCCTGTCACTTTGTGAACCACCATCTCTGCTATTGCGACCACGTCTTATTGTCCCCTGGCAGTCGTAGTCTTTTGCCGTACATCGACTGGAACAGAGACCTTCCAGTGGTTCCTTGTACTGCGGCGCGATGAATTGGCAATACCATCGGTAGTTCCGTCTCCCAGTTACCTCTTCTTGCTCTTAGCCAATTCTTTAATGTGCGATTATTTTGTTCTGTCAGCACTGGTGTTTGGATGGTATGGTGTTGTTCGTATTCCCTCGATGCCCAGCTGACCTAGGCACCATGTAGACTCGTCAATCTCAAAAACATAGATCTCGATCTGTCAATATCCTTTTCGGTCGCCACAATATGTCTAATTACTGCATTCGTCACTGTTCTTTGGCATTGGTCAAGAATTGCAGCCTTGTCCAGTCAACATATGGCGTACTTTTTCGTCACTAACAGGTACTGATTCCCATTAGACGTTCGAGGACACAACTCCTTATGTTTCGCAACCGTAGACCGAATTACTGACAACAAACAGTTGTTCCTGGATCAAACTGCATTGTGTTGACTCCGAAAACTACTTCGGATAAATAATCTGCTTTCTCTGTTCATGATAAATAATCTACAACCACATTTTCCTTCCGTGATACTTGATCAATCGTAAAATCACTCTCCTGTAGGCGCAATGATCACCGTGATAATTTCTCTCGGGGGTCTTTCTCTGTTTATATCCATTGTAGCGTCTTATAATCTGTCTCAATGTGGATTCGTTGACCAAATACATACGATCTGCATTTGTCTACCTCCCAAACGATCGCTAAACATTTTTTCTCGATGGTTGAGTACTTCCGTTCGATAGGCGTTAACACGTGGTTGGTGTACTCCATAACTCTACTATTCCGTCTGAGCACCACCCATATTCCCTAACCACTGACGTCCGTGGCCACTGTACACGGTTTTCCGGTTATGGGTAATTTCAGCGATATGTCTGTCATTTAATTTCTGTTCGATCAAACATTCTGTACACGTCTTCGGTCCATATGAGTTTTTCGTCACTCAAAAGTCTGTTGAGTGTTGCTGCGATTCTGTTAAAGTTTTTCACGATGCGTCTATAAAATTCTACTCTCCCCATGTTCGTCTCAACTTCCATCTAGAGGTGGGGGCTATTTTATTCTTGATTGTAAGAATTTTCTCGGGAAGCGGTTTTATTACACTTTACCTAACTTTATATCCTTACAGAATAACATTAGTCTTGGTTATCTTGGATTTCTCTTTGTTTCGCTTCAGAACTGCATCCAAGCGTCTTGCATAGTCTTTCTTGGTATGGCTGTACACAACTAGATCATTTCAATATACCTCGATGTTTTTAGGATTCATAGGTAAAAAGGCCATTCGTTTTATTAAAGTGAGGGACGTACCTACTAATCCAAATGAAACTCGTTTAAACAACCATTGTCTCCGTTACACACTAAATACCGTCTTGTACCTGTCACTTATCAATAGTTGCAAATATCCTGATCGGAGGTCTAATACCACAAGTACTTTGGTTTGATGTAGGTGGTCTAAAGTTTCTACCACTGTTGGCATTGTGCACGGTCTCAGTTCAGTTTTGTTCTTCAGTTCTTGGATTTCAGTATAGAATCTATATTTCCCGTTTGTCGTTTTTACTAATAGAAGAGGTGGGTTGCATGTACTATCTGCTTCTTCAACTATTCCATCCCTGAACATTTCTTTCACTTGACGATTTACTTCTAGATGAACAAGAATCCGACGTATAAAACGTCGTATTTCTTTGACTCTATGGGGATTTCATGTACTACTTTGTTACAATACCCATAGGCTTTCTTGTCTTCACTGAACAGATTTCCAAATTTTACCACTAACGTTTCAACATTTGATACATCGTTTTCACTTGTGGTTGCTATTTTAACCAATTGAGATTCGTGTGGCGCATATGTATTTGGTGCCTCCCTGTACCTATACTTATGTGTTAAAATAAATAAATAAATAAATACTATCCGACTGCATTCGGGTATGATGAAATTGCCCATGCTTAGTAGTTACCTTGTTATTTTTATCAGCCACCGCTTCAAGTTCTCTAAGGAAATATGTTTGCAATATAGTTTGTTGTATCCCTTTGATCATGATGAAGGGATATTATGCTCTACATCCATTTGTTTCGACACACCGGCTCACCACCTCTGAAATTTTCGGCGCTCTTCCATTCACGGTTTTTACTGCCAACGACACCACTTAATCTTTGTGCAGTGTCTTGTGGTGAATTCACCTCGAGACAATTTCTAAGGCTTCGTACATTAATCACCCTGATAACCGTTACTAAATAAGTCTCATTGGTTTAGGAATTTAGAAGAGAGCACAAAGCACAAGTCATTGAGCCACAAGGACACCAAGCAAATTCGTATAAAAAAGCTAATGCGCTAATGTGGATTCATCACTTGTAGCTGGGAACACTTTCGAGAAATCGAGATGCCAACAACTGTTTTTTCAATTTCGCGTTCACTTCTAGTAATGCGCTTCGAAGAAATACAGTTGACGTTGATGCCAACACAAGCGGTCTTCTTTGGGAAGCCCATGGCTCTAAGCAGCCTTAATTCCACCTAACAGTCTGTCAAACGTCCTCAGAAGCCAAGAAATGAGGACATCCCAATATTCTTTTTCGTTCACAGGACGACGACGGCGACAACTTCGATGTCATTTTCCACATTATAACATCGTTTTTTCGCATTCATTAACTAATAACGCATATTATCAATAGTAAACATTTTTACTCGTTTGTAAACCTCACAACACTTTTTGTTTCTTCTCGTAATAAACTCTTCTCCGGAATTCTATTTCAGTATAAGTCACAATAAATTTTTGTTTGGCTTAGTTCAACTTGATGTACAAGTTAACTATTTCTGGCGAATTTTTCTTTTGCAGGTGGAGGTTGCCAACCACACGTCCAACGCTCTTTTCCCTAGGTTTTTTGAATTAACAGTAACCCCAAAAGGGCCCAGGCGGAGTTGATGTATTAGTAGGTTAGTTAAAAGTTGGTGGTAGTCCAATCAAGAAGCCCATAAAGTTGTTCACTATTTAACAGGAATGTAGATAGGTGTTGAGGTCAGTAAAATTAACATAAATAATTTTTGGATTAATTGAATGGTATGGGTCAGAATCCCGATCGTTGCTGCAACCTTGACGTCGTAGTCGGGTTTGCCTATCGTGATGAACCAATCGAGCTATACTGGCTGGAACAATCGTTCCTCAACTGGGATTAAGAAGCCGAGTATAAGTGAAACAATCTCAGAAAAACACTACACTTATCTACCCTTAGCCCAGAAGTTTTGAACGACGGGTGGAACCCTTTAAGGAGTAATTCAGCTGGCCTTCCGCTACTCTACAACTACCTACCATTCCCAGACAATGTGAATGGAACACTGAAGTAGGTCCCCCAACTCTCGTTGAAGTTCCAAAACTATAACTAATCTGAAACGAGGAAGAGCAGCTGGTCCAGATGGATTGGCTCCAGAGGTCTTTAAGGATGGTGGTCTAATTTTAGCGACTAGGTTGACCAATATTTTAGCTAGAATGTGGGAACTGAATGTAATTCCATCTGACTGGTCGTAATCACTGATTGTCCCAATATATAAGAAGGGGTCAAAATCACCCTGTGATAACCATAGAGGGATTAGTTTGACTAATATAGCATCTAAAATACTAGCCTCAATAGTTATCGGATGCCTAACTAAGACTCCTGAACTGCAAACACGAGAAAATCAGGCTGGCTTCAGACCTGGTCGTGGCTGCATCGACCATATATTCACCATTTGTCAGATTTCGGAACACAGGCATGCTTATCGGCGTCGGACAATGATAG